TCTGCGAGATTGCTCATCTGTTTGCTTCGTTGTCAACTCATCCAACTTGTCCCACAACTCATTAAATTTCTTCTCTTGGTTCTGTGCACAGAGCCTCTTAAAGAGCTCCATAAGATGCTTGTTCTTGAATTGCTTGTAGAAATTTGCACCCATGTGACGCATGCACCACCGACTCCGAACATCAGGCCACTTAGCTGGAAGTCCCTTCTCATCCCAACCGTTCTGCAAGTAGTCAATAGCCCGCAACATACCCGCATGACGATCATGTATAAGGCAAACGTTGGGCCTCATACGCACCACTGCAATGTGCACTCTCTCTAGGAACCAGTACCAGCTTTCAGTGTTCTCACTCTCTACAAATGCAAAAGCCATAGGTAGAACCTGGTTGTTCCCATCACACCCAATTGCTGTCAATATCTGACCTCGGTATTTACCTGTCATAAAAGTTCCATCTATGCATAGAACAGGTCGACAATGCACAAAAGCATTGATGCAAGCACCCAATGAGAAAAAGGCTCTTTGCAGCACACTCTTTGTTCTATCTTCAACCGATGTAAATGTATGTAGGTCATAGTAAGTATTATTATTCCTCTGGGCAATGGTGGCTAACAAACGAGGCAAATTATCATAAGAAGCTTCAAATGTGCCATACCTCATCTCAATGATCTTTTGTTTGGCTCTCCAGGCCTTTGCATAGCTTATGGTGTACTTGAATTTGTTCTCGATGTGCCTAATAATTGATTTTGGTTCAAAGCCAATGTTACCAACAACACTGCTGTACATCTCACTTGCCACAAAAGCTGAAGTGATGTTTCGGTGATACTTCTCCACCCCTTGTAAGTAGCACTTGTGCTCGGTCACAATGCTAACTTTCCAATAATCATTCCATTTACCCTTATATGCATGGACACGCCACGGACAATCTTCCTTCATGCACCTCACTTCATACACATAATTTGTTGACTTGACCACCCTAAACTCTCTCTGCAATGAAACTGCCCAATGCTTCACCGCCTCCTTCATCTCATCCTTATGAGCATACCTTGCACCCTCAATTACCTCGTACTCCTTATACTCCCAGGGTACATGATCACCCTCTGATATAACAAGACCAGAGAAGTCCTCATTTGCCCAATCAGTGGCCATTACATCACCTTCCTCATCGGATGATGCGTCGTCCTCCGCTTGCTCATTATCCGAATCTTCCCTCTCCATTTCATCAACAATTATACCGACTCTCTCCCCCTCATCCGCCATGCCCATGGCCTGCTCCTCCCTTGGTTGATTTTCCTCATTTTGCATCGATGGTCCAACAACATCCCCTGCATTGCTAGGACCCTCCACATCTTCGGTTTGCATTGAAACATTTGTATCTTTCTCTGGTACCGACACAAATATAACGAGGGGCCATGACCGTTCAAAAGCCATTTCCACATACCGTCTCCAAGCAGCAGTGCTGTCCATCGGCATTAGTTCCCAAAAATAACCTTCTATTGCACGACTCACTACAACAGATACTGACATTGTGTAGACTTCTTGGTCTATTCTAAATCCTCTCAACAACCAACTATAAATTGACTGAAATGTTCTCTCCGCAGGCCTATCGATGCCCTTAGATGTCATTACAAAATCTGACAGATCAACACCATCTGGACCAAATCTAATATTTCCTTCACCGTGAACTATCTGAAATGTGACCTTACTTGACATTGTGCCTGATGAAAACAATAACTGCGTTAACCTCGCATTTCTGTACTACGCCCTAAGTTACATTCTCTACAATATTGTTCTCTAAATTTCTAAAAGTAGGTTACATTCTCCAGATCAAACTAAACTACATCTTACAATTAACACTACTGTCTATGTCTCAATTCATACTATTATATTCTATGCTCTGGATCTACACATATGTGCTGTGTGCTACAGATCTGCTAAAATATATGGAACTAAAACTAAAACGCAACATATGTACTCAAACGTAATATATTAGTACAAATGCAAAAGATGTATGGGAGCATACCTGTGATGAAGTGAGCGAACCAGCAGGGCTTCGCCGCTCCCCTTCTGCTGCCCTCCCCTCTCTCTCTCTTTCGTTTTTTTTGGATTTTTAGTGAATATAATGAAATTTCATAGGGGAGGGGCTGGGCTTTATAGGGGGGAGGCAAAAATCGCCCTCCCCCAGGGCGGCAAGGGGGCCGCCTGCAAAATTCCATGCCCCCTCGCCGCCCATTTGCAGACGGCCCCCCGCACAGTGCAAAATCGCCCTCGCGGAGGGCGGCAAGGGGGCCGCCTGCAAATTTCCATGCCCCCCCTCGCCGCCCATTTGCAGGCGGCCCCCCGCACAGTACAAAATCGCCCTCGCGGAGGGCGGCAAGGGGGCCGCCTGCAAATTTCGTTGACGGCCGTCGCCCGAGAGCGAACGGCCGTCTGCCACGTCATTTTCGCCGCCCTCTGGGAGGGCGATTTTAAAAATCGCCCTCCCAGAGGGCGGTAGGCGACTATTTCCGTCAATTTTCAAAATGGAAAATTATTTTTGTAAAACTTTTAATAAGAAAAATTATAAATAAAAAAAATTCCATATTCAGCATACTCTTTCAAGTTGTTGGTTCGATCGAGCAAGAATTTATGTTGGGCTTACGTGAGGGCAGGCCACACACTCGGCCCAGGCGTCGTCCTGGATCGGAACGAGGTTCATGTTGACCATTATGGGCCGTGCATCCTCTTCCCTTAATCCTTCCAGCCCGGCCCATGTATGACTCCTACTGTTGGATCCATGGTGTTGGTCGCACGGGTGTCGCCTGTCCTCTCCTTCCATTGACACCTGGACGGGGTTGGCGACCGCACAGATCCACGCTCACGCACGCGTTGTCGTTGTTACGAATATTATCTCCATGGGGAGATAAAGATTTAACATCCGAATCGGATTTAGAGATAATACCGTTCTTATCAGAGGGGCAGGGGTGCCCATCATTGTACACACAATCATTAATTAATAAAGAGAGAGCTCCACCCCTATATCCTGTGTCTATTGTCTCCTGTGGAGTGATTGTTTAGGAAGGGATACGGGATTCTACATCTTCTCACGCCCCATCTTCTGCGGGAGGGAAGGGAGCGGATCTGGGCGATCCGTTGTCGTAGCCGTTCACAACACGTTATCAGCAGCTCTACCACTGGGCTGACGTTGACGGGTTGCTACGACAAGATCTGCTAACTCGTCACCGCAATCGACTTGCCACTGCTTCGAGTCCCACTGCGCCGATCAATCTACGGTAAAAATTGTTGGTTGCAATTAGTAGATTGATTAGGTTTTCTTGCCTTTCATCATGTTTTTGATGCAATAATAGCAGTAGATTGGTTTTTCATGCACATGATCTAGCAGTAGATTAATTTCATGTTTTAGATCTATTTGCATCTATTGCTTTATGATGAAAACCGGAAGAAAACCGTGTGTTCTAATTGGAAAATTGACCGGATGCCTGTTTTGGGACCGAACCCGGTTCGGCTGGGCCGAACCGGTCGTCCTCGCGTACGCCCCCAAATCCCCCCGCATCCCTCAATTTTTCTCTCTCTCTCAGCCATCTACCTCGCCGGAGCCATGCCGGGAGCACGCGAGCCGCCGCCGGACCACCCACGTCGATGGGTTTTGGTGCCGCGCCGGGTGGCCGCCGCTCGCCGTCGCTGATGGAACGCCACCGACCCTCGCGTCGGCGCCGTTGCGGGAAACCGCCTACGACGAGGCAGACCAACACCCCATGTCGCCGCCGCCGCAGGACCTAATGCCGAGGACGGGCAGCCGCCGCCGTCAACCTCTTGCCGACGCGCCCTGAGCCGTGGTGGGAGGAGGATGGGACGACCGGCCGCCGACTTCGGATTAGCTTCCGTCGGGACGCCATGGCCGGACGCGATCGGTTGTCGTCGCTGGTGTTTTGGCCGTCGACGTCGAGCACGCTCCGCCGCCGTCTTCTGGACGTGTGGGTCGTGGCGGAGCTCCGCCGGACGTCGCCGAACCACCGCCGCACCGAACGCCGCTCGGGAGCGACACCGCCGTCGCCGTCTTGCCGCCGGGCGAAGATGGGTCGTCGGCCGGAGTCCTCGCCGTGCGCCGCCTCAATCCCCTCCGACACTGACAGTCGGCGCCTTCCGTCGCCGCCACCGTGCCTCTCCGGCCGGCTTGCTGGGTGACAGGTGCCGGTGGGAGAGGGGAAACCCTAATCCCCTCTCACCCCCCTCCTCTTGCGGTTCCTCATTGGGCCGGCTGGGCCGGCCTGCTCTCTCCTCGGACCAACCGCAATGGCCCATCAGATCGAGACAGCCCACACAAAGGAATCTAAAAATAGTAAATTAGAAATTCTAATGGACCTAGAGTGTAGCATTCGGTCCAATAGGATATTTGGGCCGCTACGGTAAAAACCGACCCAATAAGACCGTAGACCGAACGGCGTTTCGGCCCGGTTATTCTAATCTACTGAAAATTTGCGTATAAATCCCTTCGGATGGTTGATTTTACGCCTAAAGTTCACTGTTGAAAGTATTTTTTTACTTTTTGGACCCTATTTTTTTCCCTTTGTGTACATAGGCTACAACTTTGTAGTTTAGGCCTTGTTCTAGTTGGTTTTTTTGCATGTGAGTCCCTGGACTCGTTAACAACCATGTAATGGTGTTTTTAAGCAATTTAATTGCTTTTAACTCTGATGCAACTCCAACTAAAATCTAGATAAGGTTTCTAGATTAATGCTTCCATAAAATTGTGCTCACCTAGTGTAAGTGACCCCTCCCCGGAAGCATTATTTGGGTTTATTTTCTTGCATATGTAATGTTTTCTGTGGGCATAATTCTTGATATTAAATGCCATAAGGCCAATAATAATCACAGAAAATCAACAAATGCAAGACAAACTCCGGGAAAATACCAGTAATTACATATGACTATGCTACTTTGTTCTGTGACTTTGTTTTCATGCAAGTTAACCCGGCGTTGATTTTTTGCATGTTAAACAGGCCATGTCTGATGCGGATTACGCCAAGAAAGAGTTCCCCATCCTCACCGTTAACGGTGGGAACTACCAGACCTGGTCCATGGACTGTGAAATCAACCTTACCGCGATGGAACTGTCAGAATCCATCCGACGACAAGGAGCCGGTGTTGCCCCGCTTCCCATGCCGAAGCGGGCAAAGGCACTTGCGTTCATCAGGAAGCACATTCACGAGGACCTCAAGGTTGAGTACCTCGAGCTGCGTGGGCCTCTCCTGCTGTTGGAGGCCCTGAGAGAACGGTACACCGCGGAGAAGACTGCTATTCTCCCGAAGGCTAGAGCAGAATGGGCTCAGCTTCGGTTCTGTGATTTCAAGACCGTGGAAAGCTACAACAGTGCCGTGCATCGCATCGTCAGCAAACTTCGTTTCTGTAACCAAGTTGTGACAGACGAAGACATGATTGAAAAGACTCTTGACACATTCCACCCCAAGAATTCCATGATGCAGGAGCAGTACCGTGAGGCTAAGTACACTAAGTACTCCAAGCTCATTCAGTCGTTGTTAAACGCTGAAGTCCACAGTAAACTTCTGATGACCAACTTCAACAATCGTTATGTTGGTTCACAGCCTATTCCAGAGGCTCACGTTGTTCATTAGAAGGGTAACAACTCTGGACAAGGTTCCTCCAAGGGGAAGGGATCCGGTAGCCGCACACTACCTAATGGAAGACACTTCAAGAGGGTCGTCAAGAGGGGCAAGAAGCCCCGCAGTCGCAAGGGTCGCAAGGGCAACCCGGCGAGTGGCGCTGCTGACGATGCTAGTGGAGGATCCCAACAGGGCGGTGAGGGTTGCTACCATTGTGGCTCAAAGAAGCATTGGGCACGCAATTGCAACACAGAACCTCACCTCATTGAGATGTACCAGGATTGGAAGAAGAAGCAGGGGCCGGAAAATCACTTTGTTAAAGTGACTGGAACTGATACCCCTCCTGCTGATGCTCCCATGGAGGTTGATCCCAAGACTGCTGCTGCAGCTGATAACAGCCTTGGGGATGACGATATTGACCTCGGGGAATTCGACGGGGACGGCGAGACCGATGACCTCATGAATGAGGACATACATGGGGACATGCAGTAGTTCCCAAGTTATCAAATATGTGTCTTAAGTCTAGGCTATCATGTGTTAGTATGATTTAGCTCATCATACTGAGTCAGTGTGATTTATTTTTCAGAACATTGAGTCATCTATGTAATAATGATGCTTTAGCAAAGCATCCTGGTCAGTGTGTTTAGGATGGTCCTTTGCATTAATAAAGTTTTCCCGTTGAGTTATGTTTGGCCTTTGTCTTGTTCTATGTTCTTGCTTTTCATTCTTTCAATTAACTTGAAACAATGCAATCTCTCATATAGAACAAGCGTAGTACAATCCAATGGAGCCTGAGACGTGCTTGGTTGATAGCACGGCAACGCACACGATACTACGGGAGACTAAGTACTTCACGACACTGCGTAAGAGGGATGAGAACATCCTCACCATTGCTGGGAGTAATGGTCTCATAGTTGGCTCAGGGAAAGCCACAGTCGTCCTCCCTATGGGTACAAGGATCTTCATTGAAGAAGCATTCCTATACCCAAGTGCTGAACGCACACTCCTTACCTTTAAGGATATTCGTCGCTGCGGTTACCACCTTGCCACAACCCGTGAAGGAGGAGAAAAATTTCTCTTCATGACATCGTCTGAGGGCGATGAGACCACGGTGGTTGAGAAAATGCCAGGGAGCTTCGATGGACTGTACTACACTAAGATAAAACCCCCATATGAATACATTGCGATGCAGACCATCTTTAAGAACCCAAAGTCTTTCAGAATCTGGCATGAGAGATTAGGTCATCCTGGATTGACTATGATGCGGAAAATAGTCACAAGCTCACTAGGTCATAGCATAAACACTAAAAACTTCCCTAAGGAGTTCGTGTGTCCCGCTTGTGCAACGGGAAAGCTGATCATTCGACCCTCCTTCGAGGTTCTTGGATAGAATTCAAGGGGATATCTGTGGGCCTATTAACCCTTGGTCAGGGCCATTCAGATATTTCATGGTGTTGATAGATGCTTCTACAAGGTGGAGCCATGTATGCTTGTTGTCTACGAGGAATCACGCTTTTGCCAAATTCATCGCACAGATCATCCGTCTGTGTGCCGAGTTCCCCGAGAACCGCATTAAAACGATTTGGATGGATAATGCGGGTGAATTCACATCAAAGGCATTCAATGACTATTGTATGGCCTTGGGCATTAATGTAGAGCATTCAGTTCCCCATGTTCACACTCAGAATGGACTTGCTGAGTCACTGATTAAAAGGATCAAATTAATTGCTAGACCGTTGCTGCAGGGTAGCAATTTACCCACTACGTGTTGGGGCCATGCAGTATTGCATGCTGCAAAGCTAATCCAGTATAGACCGTCTGCATATCACTCTGCTTCACCCCGTCAACTGGCGCGTGGTCAAGAGCCGGTGGTTTCCCATCTGCGAAAGTTCAGTTGTGCTGTGTATGTGCCGATCTCACCACCCCAGCGTACAGCAATGGGACCGCACCGTAAGGTGGGGGTCTATGTGGGTTATGAGTCTCCGTCCATAATCTACTACTTGGAGCCTAAAATTGGGGATCTGTTTACGGCTCGGTACGCTGATTGCATCTTTGATGAAGAGCATTTTCCGGCATTAGGGGGAGGAAAGTACCTCGACTCTAAGGAATGCCGTGAAATAGAATGGAACTCAAGTAGTATCCATACTCTTGACCCGCGTTCGCCAGATGCTGAACAAGAAGTTCAACGTATCATACACCTTCAGAACTTAGCTAATGATCTACCAGATGCTTTTACTGATCTAAGAGGAGTGTCAAAGTTGCATATCCCTGCGGCAAATGCACCGGAGAGAGTAGAGATACCCATGGAGGGAGACTTTACTCCAGCCCCTAAGCCTAGGAAAAGGGGGAGAGACCCGGATGGTCTGATTCATGCTAAGCGGAGACGTCCGCAAGAGCTGAACACAGTACCGCTCGCATCACGCTCCCATTCAGTAGTCTCAAAGGAGATCCATCCTGGGGACGGACGCCAAAACGACAAAACGCCCAGTAGACTAGCATGCGCACCTAGTCCAACTGGTGCATCGGAACCCTCTCCTGTTTTGGGAAACCAGGATGAGGAAATGAGTGAAGAAATTGCCACAGATTATGCCATCACGGGAGAATTGTATAATCGGAAGACTACACATGTCGACATAAATTTTGTCTCCAAGATCGCTGAAATAGTGGATCATGATCTTGAACCTAAGTCCATGGCAGAGTGCAGAAAGCGCTCAGATTGGGTCAAATGGAAAGAAGCGATTGAGACATAATTACGCTCGCTTGCTAAGAGGCGTGTCTTCGGGCCGGTAAGCCTGACACCCCCCACTGTGCACCCTGTTGGGTACAAGTGGGTTTTCGTCCAGAAGCAGAACGAAAACAATGAGGTGGTGAGATATAAAGCGAGGCTTGTAGCACAAGGGTTCACGTAGAGACCCGGCATCGATTATGATGAAACTTACTCCCCAGTGATGAGTGGCATAACGTTCTGATACTTAATGTCTATGGCAGCTGGCATGGAATTGAAAATGCAGTTGATGGATGTGGTGACCGCATATCTGTACGGATCGTTGGATGGAGATTCACATGCGAGTCCCTGACGGGTTGAAGGTCCCGGACAAAGCAAATCGCAACATGTACAGTGTGAAATTAGAAAGATCGCTGTATGGGTTAAAACAGTCTGGTCGTATGCGGTACAACCGACTGAGTGACTTCCTTTTGGGGAAAGGATATGTCAATAGTGAGGATTGTCCCTGCATGTTCATCAGAAAGTCACAGAGTGATTTCTGTATCATCTCAGTCTATGTTGATGATTTGAACATCATTGACCACGTAGAGGACATTGAGGAGGCGACTGCCTATCTCAAGACGGAGTTTGAGATGAAAGACTTGGGTCAAACCAAGTTCTGCTTGGTCCTTCAGGTCGAGCATCTCCCTAATGGGATTTTAGTGCACCAGTCGACCTATACTAAAAAGGTCCTTGAGAGATTTAACATGTCAAAGGCTCATCCTTTGAAGACACCCATGGTTGTGAGATCCCTTGATAAGGATAAAGACCTATTCCGTCCTAGGAGTGAAACTGAGGAAGAGTTGGGACCGGAAATCCCATACTTAAGCGCCATTGGAGCACTGATGTACCTTGCGAACTGCACCAGGCCTGATATTGCGTTCGTGGTAAATCTTCTAGCAAGATACAGTGTGTCTCCTACAAGGAGACATTGGGTTGGCGTTAAGACAGTACTCAGGTACCTCCAGGGTACGCAAGATCTCGGCCTCTTCTTTCCAAGGCAACGAGACTTAACCATGGTGGGCTATGCAGATGCAGGATATCTGTCTGATCCCCATAATGCCCGATCTCAAACTGGTTTTGTATTTCTCTGTGGTGGTACAGCCATTTCGTGGCGGTCTAGTAAACAGACCTTGGTAGCGACGTCTACAAACCACTCAGAGATCATTGCACTATATGAAGCCACACGTGAGTGTGCATGGCTTAGAAGGATGACTCACCATATTGAACGGTCTTGTGGTTTGAGTATCTCCAATGCCCCCACGATTATCTATGAAGATAATGCAGCATGTGTCGCACAGATGCAACTAGGCTATGTTAAGAACAATATGACGAAGCATATTGCTCCTAAATTCTTCTATTCTCATGAGCTTCAGAAGCAAGGTGAGGTGAAGATCCTGCAATCCAAGTCATGTGACAATTTGGCAGATTTGTTTACTAAGTCTCTCCCAGCATGTACTTTCCAAAAATTCGTTAGAGACATTGGGATGAGAAGACTTAGAGACTTGCAGGGTTTAGGGGGAGAGAAACCCCTGAATTTGGCCTAGTTAGTGGACAGGTGAGTTCACAACGTTGTACTCTTTTCCTTAGTTGAGTGGAGCTTGCGATCCTCACAAAGGTTTTTAATGAGGCAACGGTGTGTGATGCATGGCGACAACTGTGTACTCTTTCTCCTAGCCTTTTTCCCACAGGGTTTTGGTAGGAGTTTTGACGAGGCATAAGTTGGTCGTGGATAGGTCCAAGGGGGAGTGTTACGAATATTATCTCCATGGGGAGATAAGATTCTAACTTGTGGACCAATCCGAATCGGTTTTAGAGATAAAACCGTTCTTATCTCTAAGACTCCCTCTACCTATAAATAGAGGGGCAGGGGTGCCCATCATTGTACACACAATCATTGATTAATAAAGAGAGAGCTCCACCCCTATATCCTGTGTCCATTGTCTCCTATGGTATGATTGTTTGGGAAGGGATACGGGATTCTACATCTTCTCGCGCCCCATCTTCTGTGGGAGGGAAGGGAGCGGATCTGGGCGATCCGTTGACGTAGCCGTTCTACAACAGTCGTGTCCCTCGCACTCATTTCATCACAAGAAATTGGACATTCTGCCACTACCAAAAGAGAGAGTTTCGCTATTTTGCCGATTGTATTCGTTAAAATGCTACCCCCAACCAAGCATTTGTTTTGCCATATTCACCATTTTACTCCATTTCCACCAATTTTTGCACCTGGGTTGACCAAAATACCCTTTCTTCTAGCTCAGCTCTTCTCTTTTGGCCACTCATCGAGCTCTAGAAAGGGGATCCATGCGCGTCCAGTGGCGGTAGGGGAGTAGCATGACGGACAACGGCCTCATCCGGTACGTCCGGCACGGCCTCGATGCCGCCGCTGGCGGTAGGGTCACCACCTCCCCCTCTACCGCTGCAACCGAGGGTGGTGTTGTCGCCTCGCAGCCGTCGTGCCCACCTCGGCCCCAAACCACCCGCCCGCCACTATGGCGTCCGCCGCGTTGGCCATGGGGTTCCAGCTCCAGCGCCGCCGTCACCACCGCCGCATCCGATGGTGCTTCGGCCTCCGCTGCCTCTCGTCCACCGTGACCATCGCGCCCGCCTTTGCCGTATGGGCTGCCTCTTCGAGAGCCCTGAGACGGAGGCTGCGGCCGGCACCACCGACGCCGGATCGAGCTCCGCCGCCGCATCCACCTCTCATGGCCGCTTCCTCAGCTCGACGAGTGGCCAAGGAGAGAGAAGGGTTGAGCTAGAAGAAGCCACCTAAAGGGGTATTTTGGTCAGCCCGGGTGCAAAAAATGGTGAAAATGGAATGAAATGGCGAATATGGCAAAACAAATGCTTCGCATCGCTTGGGGGTGGCATTTTATCAAATCAAATCGGCGGAATGGCATTATAGCGAAACCCTCTTTTGGTAGCGGTAGAATGTCCAATTTCTCTTTCATCACCATTCTCCGCTCCGATGATGTATGTGCTCGGGGTGGGTCCTTTCTTCTCATGGACCACATCCACATTCCACGCACAACATATACTAACACCTCCCCTTGCTTAAGTGTCGTGACTCCTTGGAGGAGATGAAGATAAAGATAAAGATTAAGTGCTTCACGTAAAACGAGGTGGTAATAATGTGTGATTAATTGAGTTTTAATTATTACAAACTTGAAAAATAGATTAATCAGATATTTTAGAACAACTTTCATATATAAAATTTTCGCACGAAACACCATTTATCAGTTTGAAAAGCGTGCCATTTTTATCCAAAATTTTTAGTGTATTCGAACGGGGACCTAGACGGACAAAAAACTTCTATAGCATCACATGGCACCTCTTGTATCCCCGCGGAATTTTGCTCGGGGTCCTAGCGCTAACACGAATATTACAGCACTTATACCTTCTAAACCGTATCAGGTGCGGTGCCACTTATACCATGCATGCATGGATCTCATGGACCATGTCCACACAATAACAAACACCTCCAGGTGAGATTCACTGACTATAGTTGACTAATCACCACTCTTAACACTAGCTAACAACACGTCCTCCTTCAACCTTCTACTACTAATTAATCATCTCACTATCGTGTCATCCCCTACACCCTTCTTACTAGCAAACCTTGTCATTAACTAATCTCTCACTTGCGGCGAGGCCCAGTACTGTTTATTTGACTTTTTTCTTTTGTTCTTCTTTTCTTACCTATATTATTGCACTAAATTTCTAATGTGATGACATGTTCAACCTACGTCAAAATGTTCCTCTTAATGCTTTTCTTTCTTTCTATTCACATCAATCCACCTCTATGACCTCACATATATACATGGTTTCTGCTTACGTGCTATTGTGATCCAAAAATGTAATCAAATGTATCAACGAAGATTTACCAAATTAGGGAGAAGCGTTTTAAGGACTTGTTTGATTAATCCCTCTCACGAAAAAATTTAAAGAAAATTTATTCCATATCTATTATATCTATTATGGTGTTAAATTATTTTTCTCAATCCCGACCCTCGAATCCCTCCATATTAAGAATTAAACAAACAAACAAGATCTAAAGGAGCTACAACGGAACACTATGCCCCTCCTAGAAAATGATATCCATAGATAAGATAAAATTACGATAAAACACATAAGATTACAAAAATGACCCATTTCAAGATAAAGTTTAATATATTGGATCATATTATTATGCTAGATAAAAACATTGCTTCTTTATTTGCTGACTCTCGTTCGATAGAAAAAATCAAAAGAGAGTTCTTATACATTTTCTACTATCCAATTCGAATCAAGATTATGCTATATGTTTCTTCCTTCTGACTCCAGCAATATCTGATGGAGAGAATGTGGTGGTGACCCCTCCTGATTTAGATCTTTGGTTGAGAAGGGACAAAATGAGGGTTAGATAAAGAGGGTGAGTTTAGAGGGAGATTAAGGTGAGATCTAGAGGCTTAACGGCGGTGGTGCTGTCGGTAATAGCCAAAGATGAGGAAGGGATGGACGATACAAAATTAAGGCAAAATTTGTGTAGGAGTATGCATGCCTGCACAAATAAAGAAAAACAACGGTTACGGCTAAACCTAAAAATAATGGTTGTTAGATATATATTGCGGTTCAAGGTTTATAAGATGAAGACACTCGAGCTATATTACGTACTACCTCTATGACGTCGTTGATTTTTTATCCAACATTTGACCAATCGTCTTATTCAAAAAATTTATGTAATTATCATTTATTTTATTATGACTTGATTCGTCATCAAATGTTCTTTGAGCATGACATAAATATTTTTATATTTACACAAAAAATTTGAATGAAACGAATAGTCAAACGTTGATCGAAAAGTCAACGCGTCATATATTAAAATATTAAAATATGGAGGGAGTATTTTGTGAAGGCAAATCTCATCCATTATTTCATTTGCAACTACGTTAATTTGATACGAAGGATGCCAGTAGATAGTACTAGTATCTGTAGATGGATAAGGTAGTGCTCTCTACAAATGTAAAAATGAACTAATCAACGCCATACAGTACATGGTTAGGGATGATGTAGTAGTATATATAATTGTAAAATGTACTACTAGTATAAGTGACGTGACAAGAGTGGTGCAGTGAAGTGTACGGGAAGGCCACGAGGAACCTGGTTCATATGGAAGCAAAAAGCGAGGAGAAGAGAGCCCCCCCTCTCCCACTCCCACCTTCTTTTTATCTGTCTCGTCTCTTCTGATAAAATAAAAGAAAGAAAAAAAAAGAAAAAACAAAGGAAATCGCGTGGGCGAGGAGGAGGGAGGAGAGAGAGCCGCTTCCGCTTGATTCGATTCGAAGCAAAACCAACCCAACCCAACCCAACTCAACCGAATCGATGGCCGGCGACGAGCCCCTCCCCGGCGACGGGCAGCGGCGGCGCTACCTCATCGGCTACGCCCTGGCGCCGAAGAAGCAGCAGAGCTTCATCCAGCCGTCGCTGGTGTCGCGCGCGGCGGGGCGCGGCATGGACCTCGTCCCCGTCGACCCCTCGCGGCCCCTCCCCGAGCAGGGGCCCTTCCACCTCCTCATCCACAAGCTCTACGGCGAGGAGTGGCGCGGTCAGCTGGACGCCTTCTCCGCCGCGCACCCAGCCGTCCCCGTCGTCGACCCGCCCCACGCCATCGACCGCCTCCACAACCGCATCTCCATGCTCCAGGTCGTCTCCGAGCTCGACGTCCCGCTCCACGCCCACCACCACCACACCTTCGGCATCCCCTCCCAGGTCGTCGTCTACGACGCCGCCGCCCTCTCCGACTCCGGCCTCCTCGCCGCCCTCCGCTTCCCCCTCATCGCCAAGCCCCTCGTCGCCGACGGCACCGCCAAGTCCCACAAGATGTCCCTCGTCTACCACCGCGAGGGCCTCCGCAAGCTCCGCCCCCCGCTCGTCCTCCAGGAGTTCGTCAACCACGGCGGCGTCATCTTCAAGGTCTACGTCGTCGGCGCCCACGTCACCTGCGTCAAGCGCCGCAGCCTCCCCGACGTCTCCAGCGACGTCCTCCAGGACGCCTCCGCCGAGGGCTCCCTCTCCTTCTCCCAGGTCTCCAACCTCCCCAACGAGCGCACCGCCCAGGAGTACTACGACGACATGCGCCTCGAGGACGCCATCATGCCACCCACCGCCTTCATCAACGACATCGCCGCCGCCCTCCGCCGCGCCCTCGGCCTCCACCTCTTCAACTTCGACATGATCCGGGACGCCCGCGCTGGGGATCGCTACCTCGTCATTGACATCAACTACTTCCCCGGCTATGCCAAGATGCCCGGATACGAGACTGTGCTCACCGATTTCTTCTGGGAGATGGTTCACAAGGACGACGACACGCCCAACCTCAACCCCAACCCCAATGACGAGGATGTCAAATGAGCCACATCAATTTCGACTGCCATGCTCGCAAACGTGCAATGCCTGGATGTCAGCGCGAGGTACCAGGTATGCTGGTTGCAGAAAATCTGATGAGGGGAATAACGAGCAAGCAATTAGGATGGGGAGATCGGGATTAACGGATTCCTGACCATGTCGGGGTTTCACCGGTGCCATGCACAGACCCTACCTGCGGTGTAAATCCTTTCTCCTAACTCCTTTCATACTGGTTGTTTTAGGTATCCTTCTGTTCTTCGTAATTTGCTTCATCTAGTTTAGTTAGAGCAGCCAAGAGAGAGAAAAGAAATGAAGAACGAAGTTCTCAAAGAAAATTTGCTCGGTGCACAAAACTTTTGTTCCTGAGTACTGGATGAATTTTTGTTCTTGAGTCGCCAAATTTGCTCATATTTTTTTTCTCTTATGTACCTACCTACCAGAATGCTGGTAGACTGGTAGTAGCGTGAACTAGATGAACTAGTTTAGAAAAATTTAGAAAAAAAAAGACTCTCTTAGTGCAAGTAATAACATAGTAGTGATAAATGGTTTAATCTCATCCCCTGATCAATCACTGGGTCCTTTCTTTCCTCTGGATATCCTTAACAGTACTGCGATGATCAACGTTTCTCAATTAAATTAAAAATTGATACATGTGAAACCCTTGGGTGATGCATACCTTCTATCCTTTGGTCATTTGCATGCAGAATAGATTCTTATTCTGTTTATGTCACCAGTTCTATTATCATCATTATTGTTAAATCAGTGAACAAGGTTGAATATGCTTCGGAAAGGATGCTATATTGTTATGTCTACCTGATTGATTCTTTGTTTATTAAGTTGGTTTGAGCCTGGTCATTTCCATCTTATTTCTTTTGAGCATGTCTCTGCACTAATTGGCTGAATTTAAAGTGCTTCCATTGGTTGGAACCTTGCCCAGCAAGTGCTGGGCAGTGAATCGCTGCGGCGCCAAAACTGGCGTAGCGACAAGCTGTGCCGCGTCAAAGTTGCATAATGACAGGCTGCCCCTTTCTTATTCCTTCATACTGTGAGATATTTTAAGTTTGGCGCATCTCAAATTTGTTCTATCTGTGTTCTGTACTGTCTAATATTCAGTGTCCATTGATCACTTGATTGACCTACGGATAGTTCCCTTTTATGTCCAGGGCAAGCTATATGTATCTTGTTTTGTTTGTAGCGTAAGTTGCATCGTGCAGTTTATCCATTTTATTGAAAGGGAAATGGTAGGATATGATTGAACATTTATATCCTGCATTAATAATATGTCTCAACGGCCCTTTATCCTCTTCAGTTTAAAAGGTGAAAAAAATGGAATGCTCACATTTCCAAGAGTACATATTTTTTTTCTGACTTCTGAGTGTAATTGGTGGCAAATATAATACGAGGATCCCAACATATAAGGCCTATAAACCTGGTTGATATTGTTATTTGAACTTCTTGATGTTGTTGTGACTATGATATGTTAATGTTTTGTTCATCTGGTGGACTGCTGTTGAAAACGATTTTTTTAGAAAAATATATATGACTCTTTCCTTCTGGTGCACCCTTTATTTTCATTCAGCTTTGTAGCCTCTGATGTGTTTCTTTTCAACTGCTTAGTTCATTTATCTTGTTCTCTGATGCCACAATTATCCCAATACTTGCATGGTTTGTGCACATGATTGCTTCAGAGGGAGTTTTTTTTTTGTGTGTGTGTGTGTAAAGAGAGTAATTTTTATGGTATAGTTTTGGAGTTAAAATTTGTGAGAAACAGCACATTAACTGTTTATAGTAGTTAGGGCAAAGAAATATGGAAATATTAACACTGTTATCTAAACACACTAGCCTTAACAGCTTTGCAGTTTCTCATATTGTTACCTCAGGCCTTTTCAGTTTCCATCTTAAATTGTAAGGCCTGGTTATGGTAAGGAGAATGTCCATAGCTCTCTTTGCATCAAAATTGGTACCGGTTAATGAACTCGAATTATTACAGAACAATGCTGTGAGTATTTCTTGTGCGCAGCATATGTAAGAAGTTTCAGGTCGTTCAATATGGTAATTTGCATAAGCTGCTTTGTACAATCGATGACATCAGTCACACTAGGATTCTCCATCCCAGCTGATGTTTTTTTTTAACACCGCCCCTTGATGTTAGAAGTTTAAAGAATAATCCTAATGTTTCATGGTGGGTGCTGTTTATGTTTTTGTGTAGTATATAACCCCTCTTTCATGCTAGATTTGTGTTGGAATTTATGGCTGTAGATCAGTACTTATTTTTTCCGTTTGCTTGCCTTACTGCTGGGGATGTGCATATCGATCTGCTTATTAATCCGTGGATTGTGGATGGATGTATGTATCATCAACATCATTTCCTGGGAATGTGATATGTGATTGGTTGTTTGTGGCCGAGACGGGTCATTATCCAGAGTGAGCATCTCATATGAAAAAAGTTTGGTTCTTTTTCTGTTTATCCAGGTCATGGATGCAACTTGCTTGCTTTTTTGCTGCATGATTCTTGTTTTTGCTCCATGTTTATTCACCCAATGTTTTTCTTGTTCTCTCGTATCAGATGCCTTGCTTTGATTTTCTCAGATACCCGTGCGTCTCCTACTCCACATTTTCCACGAAAGATGTCTCTCTGAGCACTATCCTTTCTTCAAAAAGTTCAAATGCCATTCAAATGGTTATAAAAAGATTCGAGAAAATGCAACTGTCTCACCACCGTCTTTCTGTTGTTTGCCCTTCTTTTTTGTGTTTTGCGAGATGCGAAATCACAAACAATGTAGCAGGCCAGAATCTGTGTCAAAGAGAGAATTGCAGTGGTAGAGAGTTGGTTGTTGCATTTTGGGTTGTGTTGTGTAGAACTAACATCATCGACCTCATGGATGGACCGTGGTGATCAACTGATCATTGGCAACGTCACAACATGGACATGTTACCTAACACAAACAGCAACTAAAATAGGCTATCTCTTTCAAGTCACACGTTTATATGTGTCAAATACACTGGAGCAAACTAGATAACGATCGGTTTGCAACACGCCATGTAATCATCAGTCAGAGCTTGACAACGGCTCGGAATCAGCAATCAGCTAGTGCTCGACAGAGCATTAATCCAAAAAGAAACTTGCACTGCATTTGGCATCACGGGAGACTATGGCGCAGGGTAAATGAAAACTAAATATCATTCATATCGTTGAGTACAAGAACAAGGCAGATAAATTCAAGCATGTATTTGCTCGGCTCTTATAGAACGGGCAGGGAAAAATACAGGCAACACACAACAATGTTACTTCGACATCATCATTTATTGTAAATCCATGAGCAACTAGAGAGGTCAAAATAAGGACTGCAGCAGTTCATTTTTACTCCTTTCAAATCCAATAGAAAGATAACCTGCACAAAAGATAAAAGCGATTCAAGTCATGATCTATAACTATACAACATAAATATAGTTGTACCTTTTCCCATTCCATTTTTCTTCAACAGATGATAAATCAAATGCTAGTTATATGGTGCTTCAGAGGTAGCAAAAGATATCAAGCAAATAATTATCAATACATATAGTAGCACAAGCATGATGGACAAGGCAGGATTTGTGATGTGGAGTAAATAGCGAACTTAACTGCGCCATGTCTGTGAACGATCACACTCGGGCACTAGAAATATGATATATTAAAATCAAACAAAAGAGATTCCAGAGTCATCACAAAATGACCATATTATAATCAGCATTTTTCCCTCTTGGAATGGGAATATCACATGATCACATCAGATTAAGAGGCTGGAGATTATGTTTGCACAAAATATTTCCACATGTATTCTTCTATTCGATCTTACGAGGCAAGCAAAGATAAGGTCAAGAGATTGAGAGGGATCTTCAATAAAGAGCGATAGCAGAATATCATGACATATGGAGAATCCCATGCTAGAGGATGCTTTTAAGATTTTTTTTGAATGTATGTGGAGTGTTTCTAAGCCATTCAATTGTCCTTAGAAATAAATTTAAACAAACTAAATAGCTGACAGCACTAATGGTAAATATAGAGTTATTCCAAAGGAAAAAAGATTGGTGCCCCCTTCACACGTATCCACTTTTCCCTTTACCCATTGTTCCTTACGTTATATGCCCTGAGAGCAGGAATGGTCTTTTTTATGGCATATGCTGAATTTGTTCATTAGAAGGTATCCCTACAACTACATACAATGGAAACGGTAGGCAGTCTCAAGACTCCGAACCTTCCTAAACGAAAACGCTTCCTATATTCACACAAAATCCCCAATCAAATCGAACAACAGGTTATGCCCCACGCAAAACATAGAACAGGGTATTGCAGCTCTAATTAATTACTCAAGTGTGTGTGCTGAATTGCAAACATCCTCTAAATGCTAGGATAAGTATTGTTAGAATGATGATGGTTAAGTTTAACAACAAATCATTCATTTTAAGCTGCATAATTGACACAAAATAGATAAGTATTGTAGAATGATGGAAGTTAATATTAACAACAAATCATTCATTTTAAGCTGCATAATTGACACATAATAGATAAAATTGGAGTGCTTCATCAGACAAGAAATAGCCTCACCTCTCCAGCCCAGGAACAGCAGCAGCAGCAAAGCTACTCGTCGGCCTCAACCACCTTCTTGGGATCTGCGCAACACCAACAAGGCAATGGTATCATCAATCAAGTAGAGAAAACGAAACTAGAGGAAGCGAAATGGTAGAGCTGGGGGATCATCTCATCGGACCGTGCAGCTCCGGCGGGCGGGCGTCCTTGCCCCATCCGACGCCGCGGGTGGCCTCGAGGTACTGGTCGACGAGGTGGCGGCACTTCTGGTGGTGGTTGACGCCCTCGATGCGGTAGCACCAGCGGAGGCGGTCGCGGATGATCTTGGCGGTCTCGATCTGGATCCACTTCTCCCTCACCAGGTGCTCCCTGTACTCCAGCATCGCCACCGGGTCCCCGTACGGGTTCTTCGGGTCGAAGTCATCCGGCGGGCTCTCGTCGAACTCGACCTTCGCCTTCCTCACCATCTCCGCTCGCCGCCGCCGCCCTTCTCTTCCTCCTCCGATTGGGTTGGGGATTTCTGCTTCTGTTCGATCTCCGCTGCGAAGACGCAACTAGTGGACACTAAATGGGCCGTCTCCATCTCGCGTTAACAGGCCGGCCCAATAACGCGGGCCCATTAATTTCTCGTCGTCTCCCTTTTCTCAAACAGTAGAGACTGACTCCAATTCGATTTCACCCAGAAAAGGGGAAAAGCATCGCGTGATTCCGATGAGCTCTCCGGCGAGGTCGACCGTGTCGGCGGCCAGCGCGGGCGCGATCTCGGCCTCCGACGACGTCGCCGACTCCATCGACGCGCTCTACCGCAAGGATGAGGCCATGGCAGGCAAACCCTCACGCAAGCCCTAGCTTTTCCGCTCCTCCTCTCCTTTTGGATTCTGAATCGGCTATGTTTGTGGTTGCTTCCCCGCAGAGCTCAAGTCGGAGGTGATGGAGGCGCTGCAAAAGGAGGTCAGGTCGCTCGATGACGACAGCTGGATGTTCGCCGCGCCCCGCTCCCGCATCAACCTCGTCTCTATGTCTGGTAACATCGACGAAACTACAGCTCTCAGCTCACTCAGTTTACTTGTGGTTTACGAATAAGATATAGCTTACTGTCTAGTAGTTGACCACCAGCTTACTTTGCCCTTATTTAATTGGAGTTAGAGCCATCGCCCGCTGCGAATTAGTGGTTGATTCAGGATCTTAAGAATTTCAGGTGGTTACCTACGCAAGCAGCAGGAAAAATTGGCTGACCTCGGTCAAGCATCCAAGAAGACGAGGAATTTCTAGGAACTAGGTGTCTTCCAGGGAAGCCTCTGCAAGTTTACAAGTCCAGAATTCTACCAGGCATCTGTTTGAAGGGAATCAAGGAACTGTGACCCGGTGTCAATCCATTGCGGTTGTGTCCTGCACCCAAATTTGGTATGAGTAATCCTTTCATGCCATTGTAATGTAGACAAGAAAAAAATCAAAACACTTCACCAGCATGTTCAGCTAGGCTTAAAGCTCAGTACCATGCAATCCTTATAAACCGTTTATCTAAATGAAAAATGTAGGCGGATTTTCATTTTCCACCTCAAAGCAATGCATTTCACAGTGAAATTACGGTTTAACTTAGCGAGGTTTTGATATTTTTGCTTTTGTTCCGCTTATTTGTGAACTACCGGTGTCCTGCTCCTGGTGAAACCCCCACACTTGTCTACGGTTTTTGTGCCATGTTGAACACAAGCCCATATTGTTCTTCAGGTTAGAGCAGGAAAATGTCTTGGGCAAATTATATAGATAATGGTATCTGTAGCTATATCATATTATCATGGTCGATTAATTAGATAATAGTTTGTAGGAGTGCAAGATGGTACAGGCTGAGGGTATGCTATAATATTTTTCCAAATTGCAATGATTGAAACTTCAGAAAAAAAGCTCGTATGCTGGTGCGTGCAAAAGAATTTGATTTTGCACCATTCCTTTTTGTTTCCAGAGATAATGTTCAGTGCCTGGCCATATCCTCTAAAAGAATGATGCTTCAACTTGAGCCTGAAATTGACTTTGTGTGAGTTTGGTTGCCATAGTGGACAATAACTACAGAATTGGTTGATAATTTGGTACCATGCCACTATTTTTTTTCTGTGTTTTTATCATGTATGATAGTGGCCTAGAATATCAAGTAAGCTGTCTGCTGCACTACTTCGGATTTGAATGCAGTGAAAGTAATTGGCAAATAAAATCCGGGTGATTCTTTTGGTTGCCTTTGAGGTACCATGGAGTATGTTGTTAGTTGTATCTCATGCCTCGTGTTATAAGTGTCACGTATATGAAATGTACATCATGTATCCTGGTCTGCTGTGCTGTTTAATCTGGTAAAGAGTTTCTCTTCAATGTTTTATTCCTCTTTTTTTTTGTTCCCTCGTTTTCAAAAAGCCAAGGTTGAATGTGGGGATAATGAACATGTTTAATACAGAGACGCGAGAGGCGAATGGATCTTGTATTGCATCGATCATCCTTTTTTTTTTTACCCCCTGGACTGGAAGTTTCTGTTTACTCGAGTTATATACTCCAGTTGTGTGTGACTCTGTGTGTGTGTGTTTAAGCTCCTTGTCGGTGGATAGCATGGAGGAATCGACCGTGAAAGAAGGCCTGGCTATTGCCCTACAGTTATACAGCATTATGGTGCCCGTGCTCGCCGACACCATTTAGTAAATTTTTTGTTTCATTTTTAAGAGGAAACTGTTAGTTATGTCATGTACTCGTGTCGAGCAGGAGGCTGCATGATCCGTGGACCCCGGCCTGCTGTCTTCCCTGATGGTAAAACCAGGGTTGATTTTTTGTTAATTACACATTTCTGTGATGGTAATTACACATGACAGAAGAGGGGTGTCCTGTATGAATTACACATCCATGCTGTGTTGTCTTGTGCCCAGTGTTTGTTACTCCCTCCATCCCATAATATACTCCCTCCGTATTTTAATGTATGGCACCGTTGACATCTTTGACCATTCGTTCTCAAAATACAACTTCTCCACCGACATTCTCTTCACAACTAATCACAATCCTCCACCATTCACTTTTTCCACTATTTATTTTTATCTACTTTTTTAATGGCTGTGTCTAACTCTAAAATTTTTTATATTATGAGATGGAGGAAATTTTTTATATTATGAGACGGAGAGAGTAGTATACAGTGTTGAAGACAAAGGCAGGCAGTACAGGGGACAAAAAATTTCTTTGTGATGAGCAGCAATGTAAACAAACTGTGCCCACCCAGCCATGACCATGAGCCACCCAGGTAGCAGCTGGAACCAACCAACAACAGAGTTATGAGTGATGACCCCCTTGCTTCTGTTGTGTGATGTACCAGGCGCCATTCTCCACAACACTGGGCACGCTTTCTTTCTGTCTTTCTTTATCGGTTCACCCGTTCGTTCTACTGCAAATCTGACGATAGACGGAGGACTCTACGTCTATGATCTAAAAGCTCTAACCAGAACGGTCGAAATCAGCTTCCTCGCCAAAAAAGAAAAAGTGAGAAGGGTCTACAACAGCCAATAGCAACATCAATCAATTAATCAAAGGTTGTACAGTGGATAATGGAGACTCTGCCTAATTAATTACTCCATCAAACTAGAGGCGATCAGCTGGAGCTGTCCATCTGGCTCTGATCAACAGTGTCAGTCGGTCAGTCACTCACAGGGCACAAGAAATAGTACATCAGCAAATAGGAGTACTCCAATAGCATGAACCAAACCAAAAGTGGATGGAATCGAATCGAAGTATGAACATATGGCTAATCCAATTCTCATGGCCAAGATAAGAAGAAGATCACAAGATATAATACATATAGTAGCACTGTTGAACTGCCAACGTAATCTTGTGGTGCTATGGTTGGAGTTGGAGAGATCCCAAGGAAGAAAAGAGAGGAGGAAAAGAGAAAGATGAGAGACTCCTCCCTCGTCGGCTTCTCTGACTTTTTGGCACCTTCGATTCCAACAACGAATCCAACGGCTAGCTGCGCTGCGCTGACGTCACATCCAGCCTTAGCCTTAGCCGTCAGCGCCGCCGCCGCAGCGCCATCCCCATCCTTCGGCCGCGGGCCAGCCTCGGCTCCTGCTTTAACCGGCGGTGGACGCCGCCGCTGCGGGCGATGGACGCCGTCGTTTCCGCTGCAGTAACAGACCAGCACTTGCATTTGATGAGAGGCAAAGGAGCAGAGAGAGAGGCAAGCGCGACTGAATCAATCCATGCGAGTAGAGTAGAGACGAGTAATCACCTGTGGCCTCGAGGGTGCGAGCGGCGGCCAGCACCGGCGAATCTGTACGGGAGCAGAGGAGGATTAGGCGGTTGGTTGCGGCGGCGAGGGGAGGGGATAGCGTTGTTGTTACCGACCGGTGGCGATGGCGAGGGAGGAGGAAGCCGGGTCGTGGGAGAGAAGGAAGAGGACGAGGAAGCAGAGGAGCGTGAGCACGGGGATGATGTGGATGGACCTGTCCGGCGCCGCCCGCCCCGCCTTCCCGGCCTTCTCCTCCTCCTCCTCCTCCTCCCCCGCCGCCGCGCCGCCCTCGAGGAGGCGGGGCTTGCCGCCTGCCGATCCCACGGAGAGGCGCTGCATTGCGTGGTGGCGGCGGCGGCGGCGGCGGCGGCGGAAGGGAAGGGGATAGGTGAGGTGTGTGTGCCTCTGCCTTGCCTGCCTGGACTCCTGGACTGGGTGGCCTTTTGCATTTGCTGCAGGGGACCAGTTTGTAAGGGGGAAAAAAATACTCCCAAGGGGATAAGATTTACATGTAACTCCTTTTGGCTGTGGGTGTATGCAAGGAAGGAATGAATTTGCCAGCATGGCTTTCCCCGTTTTGTACGCGCCAAGTGTAAATTCCTGGTTTTATTACTCCCTCCGTTTTATAATGTACTGACTTTTTAGCATTGTCTACATTCATTTATTCTAGCATTACCCATATTTATTTAGATGTTAATAAATCTAGACATGAATGTGGGTAATGCTAGAAAGTCTTATATTGTGAAACGGAGGAAGTATGTGTTTGTTACAGCTGTAGAACAGCACGGGGGGTGTTAGTGTTACCATGTTTGTGCTCTTTTGGTGGAGTAGGGGCCTGTTTAGATCCCTGGTAAAATTTTACACCATGTCACATCGAATATTTGGATACATGTATATAGTATTAAATATAAATAAAATAAAAAACAATTATATAGATTGTGTGTAAATTGCAAGACGAATCTTTTAAGCATAATTGCACCATGTTTCGACAATGTGGTGCTATAGTAAACACTTACTAATGACGGATTAATTAAGCTTAATAAATTCGTCTCGCAGTTTCCTGGCAGAATCTGTAATTTGTTTTGTTATTAGACAATGTTTAATACTTCAAATATATGTCCGTATATCTAAACTTTACGCCCATAGATCTAAACACAGAGTTCCTGCACCATATGTATGTAGTGCTGGCTTGATACGGCTGAGCCGGATGAAGTTGTGAACACTTCCTCCATTGCACGCAATACGAAATGACGGTTCAGCGTATGTCTAAATAAGTATTAGCTAAAAAATTCATGAATAGAATAATATGATTTTTAAAGCAATTTTTCTACATTTTCTTAAAAACACGTCGTTTAACAATTTGGGAAGCATGCATATAATGAAAAAACGAGGGATATGAAGTTGGGAAAGTAGTAGACTAAGTGCCTATTTAGTTCCCAAATAACATTTCCCACGCTGTCATATCAAATGTGTGGACATATGCATGGAGTATTAAATGTAGAAAAAATCAATTACACAGTTCGTCAGGAAATTGCGAGACGAATCTTTTAAGCATAATTGCGCCATGATTCGACAATGTGGTGCTATAGTAAATATTTGCTAATGACGGATTAATTAAGCTTAATAAATTCGTCTCGCAGTTTCCTGGTGGAATCTGCAATTTTTGTTATTAGACAACGTTTAATACTTCAAATGTGCGTCCATATATCCGTATATCCGATGTGGTATGTAGGTTTTTTTTTCCAACTAAACAGGCCCTAAAGATCACAGCCGTACAATTGTACTGGAGTAGTACCTTCTTGTTAATTGTCACCTGCCATCTGTATGTTTTTCTTTCTACCTTACTACTGGAGTGTATTGGTTAGGACTCGGCAGGATCTACCTCTACTATACACTGTTGTCTTTGTACAAATTTACCACAAAAATCATCCAAACGTTATCTCTTAATCATTGGCTAGATAGGAAAACAACTAATTTGTTTAGTCGGCTGGATGAGAGAGAATGAGATGAGAACAGTAAATTTTTAATTAACAAAAAAATATTTTAATTATCACTAATCTTTCCATAATCGACATAATAATTAACAACAAAATATACTATCCATAGAGAGAGATAGGCAAAAGAGGGGAGAATGGTAGAGAGAAGGAAGAAGATTAGTCACTAACACACGGAGGCTACATGGGTCATACGCTAACTTGTCTTGTCAGTTAAAACTGGACACGATGGAGCCTTGGTTACACCAATATTATGAGTTGAGGATCAAAAGTGAACTTATTCCTTACTATTATTCCGTCCGTACACGTAGATGGCCCGGGGTAGAAGCCCATGCCAACGAGGCCTAGATGCGGAAATCACAATACCGTTTGCCATACATGTACACGTAAAGTCGAAGTACGCTTCCTGGCCTTTGGCCTGTGGGTGTCGTCTTCTCCAGAGGAACGAAACGAAACCTGAGGAGGTCTCTCGAGTTGTCGACTCGCAGTCGCACCAACGCAGCAGCAGCAACTCGACTGTAGTCCTTGCGCTACCTCCCGCAGCCAAGCTTCCTCGCCGTCGCCACCTCCGAGATGGAGATGGAGGCTGCTGCTGCTGCGGCCGCGGCGGCCTCCGACGAAACCCTAGCCGCCATCTTTGCTCAGCTCAAGCCCCACACCGTCACCCTCCTCGACCTCATCCGCACCCGCACCCCGGCCTCCAAGTCCGCCGCGGCTTCCTCCCTCCGCGCCATGGCCTCCTTCCTCCGCTCCGCCCCCGCCCCGGCCTTGCAGCTCTGCTTCGAGTACCCACTCCTCTCCTCTCCTCTCCCCCGCCCCAAGTGTCTGCGCGTGTTGGTTTTTGTTTATTTGGTTGGTTGTGCTAATGTATGGCTTGTTTGGTGCTGTGTGGGGTGCCTAGTTACACCGTGTTTCCATTGCTCCTGCTCCTGGATGCTGCGGTGCAATGCAGGAAGGAAGCCAATGCGTCAGGGGAGCTCGACATCTCTGATGCCATCGCCGAAGGCGGTCTTGCGTGCCTAGAGGTGCTCCTTACCAAATGCCGCCTCACCTCGGTCAATCAGGTGCTTCATTTTTTTTTCTCTGCTTCCGTATACCTGATGATTCTCTAGTTTAATATTCTATCATCTCCAACTAGAACCTGTACACATTAGCTGCATTAGTAATAACTTGTTAACCAATCTGTGTATTATTTTATCTGACAATTGATCTCGAACAACTGAGGACAGTATGAAACCATAATTTCCTGTGTGCTGTGTAGCTCATGGCAGGCAGAACTTTTCTGAAATCCTGGATCCTAATCTTAATGAGTCTCATCACATATTTGACATGAGTTTCTTTTTGTTTGCCTTACTAGATGGTTGCATTGCTAAAGAAGTTAACTTTCGGGGCAATGCTTTCACCTTCGGAGGCTTCAGAGGAATTCCGCCAAGGCATCATAAGATGCTTCAGAGCCATGATTCTGCAGCTACACCCATGCTTGGACCGCTCTTGTTCTTGCAAACAAGCAACTGCATTGTCTACAGCCCTATCTTTTACAAGTTTGGAAGTTGGCACTATAGTTACCCCAAAATACTCGGCACAACCAGAAGAGTGCTTGCTTGCGTTCCTCCAGTCCCAAAACGCTTCAGCTGCTGTGGGGCACTGGCTTTCACTACTTCTCCAGGTACATCATTCATTTACTTTTATCTTCTGATTCACTTGATTTTTCTTTTCTTTTATTGTCTTTTTGGTTGATATGACACCTTTCACTTTCAGTCATCAGAACTTGAGGCATCAAGGGGTCACCGTGGCAGTGCAGATGTTAGAAAAGAATCACTGATTACACTGCGTGTTCTTATTGGCAAGGTGAGAAGTTTTTTGCAAGCAACACATGGATGGGTCACTAGCCAAGACACTTGTGTTGTTCAGGAAATGCTTAATCATAATGTCGATTAGCATTTTTCTTTGCTGTCATTTCTCCTGCAGAACTGTAAAGCCATGAAAAGATGAAGGCTAAAAAAAACCAGCAGTATCTGTTTAGCTGTTGCATTGGCATAATGACCAGGCTTTTTTTTTGTTCTTTTTGAGAGGATGACAAGGCTAGTTGTTTTACTCTTTTTTTTTTTAAAAAAAGAGAGAATAAAATATATTGAACTGATGTTAGATACACCAACCTTCAGAGATGATAGATACCCAGTTTCCTCTGATTCATAGCAAGAATCAGCCTCACTGTTTTTCTTAGTATATCCATTATCTTTCTTTAGGGCATGATACCTCTGTGTAAAAGCATGTTACAGAGGTTTTAGTTTTCTCTGGGGCATGACTCCTTCCGAGGCTATTATTTTGTTTTCCCATTGTACAAACAATTCAGTAAACTTACTCTTCTTGTTTAGGTAGGTTCTGCGGATGCACTTGCCTTTTTCCTTCCTGGACTTGTCAGTCGTCTTGGAAAGGTTCTTTACACATCTAAGAATATGATAAGTGGTGCTGCTGGGAGTGCTTTGAGCATTGAACAAGCTGTTCTTGGATTGACCGAGGCCTTGATCGTAGTCCTAAATGACAAGGAGAATTTGAGTGAACTTGATATTTCCAGCGTTGAGAATGTGGCTCTTTGTTCTGGTGGCAATAGTTCTAGTGAACATGTATTGCAGATGCTTCGCCAATTACCGGCCAAAACTTTATCTAAGCAGATCGGCAGTGGTGAAGCTACAGAAGATGTGAACGCTGATGGCAGTAAAACCTCTGCTGATAGAAGAGAACTGCATGTTAAACGGACAAAAAAATGGCTTGAGGAAACAGCTAATAATGTTGATAAATTACTCTCTGCGACATTTCCACATGTATGCCAGTATTTTTCTTCTCTGTTATTTTTATTTAGTGTTTGAGTGGTTATTTGGACCATCAAAAGTGAATATTAGAGCTATTTTTTTTTGCAGCTTTCTATTCATTCATCTGAGAAAGTAAGGAGGTCGGTGGTTAATGGTATAAGAGTCCTTTTGTCCAGCTGCAGCTATACACTAAGGAAAAGCAAGATGTTGCTTGTGGTAAGTACACATATGATATTTTATCACTTGTTGAGGTGTTGTGCCTAGAATTATGCTATATGTTTATTTTTAACTTCTCAAAGATGGTTGCAGGAATGCTTATGTATTCTGGCATGTGATGATGCAGCATCTGTGTCTGAGGCTGCGCAAGACTCTCTTGATTATCTTTTCATTGAGGGTGAGAGAGTTCTAACAGAAGATGATGTTTCTGATATTTTTACCAGGTTCGTTCTATTTTACTCTGTGTTAACAACACAAGTGATAGTTTGGGTAAAGTTCTCAACCATTTGACATGTAAAACAGGTTTGTTGAAAAGTTACCACAAATGGTACTTGGTAGTGAGGAGACCACTGCTATTTCGCATGCTAGAAGACTACTAGCTCTAACTTATTATGCAGGCCCTCAGTTTTTGGCAAATTATCTTCACCGTTCTCCTGTAAGTTATCTACATCCCTTTTGTTGGATCAATGATTC